TATATATATAAGACTTTCATGCCAAGACTGATCAACAATACCCAAGTTCAAACTCCTCCAAAAATTAAGTTGAAGCTTGTTAAATTGTTCAAGCTTCGCTCATTTAGATTCAAGTCCCCATTAAATGGGTTGATTCAATTATAAGCCCTACCTGGGACCATGAAAGTTGCACATTTATATAGTAATTCTGCAAATCGTTCATTAGTGACACAAATTAATTTCATATAATCTAAACGCATGGCCTGTGTAATCCCATAGATAAACCATGACCTATAAATTATTGGATCTTTGACAAAGAAAATATTCAATCATTTGATATCTGATATCTGTGCACCTCACTGATTGAGGTACAGGCTCAAAATTTGCATCTCTGCTGCACTAGCCTCAACATCATCAACATGGTTTAAACTTTAAACACTGATCAAGTACTAGTAACAAACAAACCATACACCTCAATATAGCCCAGCACACCTTTCTTTTTTTTTATTTTTCATTATTTTATTCAATGATACACAAGGTTCGATATACCGCCTGGTATGATTCGGTGCAGATGGCATTTCTTGATCAGGCAGGTTACCAGTACACAGACCAAGGTAAACTAGATGGTACGCCCATACCAGACAGATACAGGTTGATACCACCCTAGATACAGGCTAGTGCGCCTGATACAGAACAATATAGACTGTACCGAGCAGGTTCCTTCTTTATTTTTTCAGCCTTTTTAAGTTTTTTATTTTGTAACATGGTACATATTGATGTACTAAGTGTTGGTACACCAAGACACTGGTACAGTACCTGTCTGAACACTCATCGATACAATACTGGTAAACGAAATTGTGAACTTTGCCAGGAGAAGGTACTTGTCAGTATAATGCTTGATATCTCAATATTGGGCCAATTTAATAGGTTATAGTAATAGTCTTGTAGATAATGGCATCAGAATGGCATTAAAACCCTTGATATTCAAGTTTTAAAGAGACCAAAGTTAATAACTAAAACATATGCAAGGCAAAAAAGCTAATAAACCATGGCCATCAACAAGAACCTAACAATGACTCAAATTCCACTTTGAAGACCTTGTTCCAATTTCTTATAAATAATCTATATTTTGCTATACTAAGTACTAACAAACTATAAGTGAATAACCAACTTTTAAGTATATGAGGCAGGTTTGCTGCACCACCCAAGTCAGTTCAGTACAGGCACTACATACTAGTCCAACTCGCCACCAAGAAGCGGCTCGCCCAAGCGTACCATGTGTCGGTACACCGGTATAAACCGGTATGTAACATAGCGACAAATCTCTGAGATGGGTTCCGTATCCGAAAATCAGCACTTCTAAGAATAATTTAACCTAGAAAGCAAGACTCCAGAATATTTTATTTCAGTCATAATGGACAATGAAAGATAGGAGAAAAAAAAAATCTTATATTTGTTAACTTGCAATTGACAAGTGTACAGCAAGAAGACACAAGCCAGTGACAAGATTGTAAGTGAGAATGTGAGATAACACAAAGACCAGGCAGTTCCATGACTACTGTATCCTCCTTGTGGGGAGAACAACAATGACTCGGAAAGCAAACAGCAACATAGACTAAGAACATTAAGAATCTTATAAGCAGAATAAACTTCAACACTAATGAAACACATACATCTTGTTAATGAATTAAAGTAACCGATAGTAAAAGAATTTGCAAATTTATGAAAGAGGAACAAAAACTACAAGATTTTCAAATTTAATTAAACATTACCAAATTTTCTAAGATATCAAGATTTTCTTTTCCACACCTCTGGCCATAAGCTACAGCAATTGACTTTCGTGTAGCCCTTATCTGCAAGAATATAAGAATGAAAACAAGTGAAAGAATGAGTCTATTAATGCATGTATGAGATATCAGCATAAATTACTAAGACCTTTATTTAGAAATATGGGTTTAAACAAGGAGAACAAGAGAGTTATCTGCTTGGTTTAAAAAAATAAGTTAAATTTTGAAAATAAGGGTGGCCAATTCCAAATACAAGCACACAATTTCATACTGGCATAAGAAAGCATATGACATTGTAACATAGGTATGTGTTAAGTATACCCATTTGACAGTTCAGTCACATAAATATTGGCTGCAAGAATGAGTAGATCTAGCGATAATATGCAGATATTGAGAACAAATGGCATAATAACGACTTAGCAAGAGCAAAAGTAAAATGTGGCCCAGTGCATCAAGCTCCTTTATTTACTTGGCAAGTAAGAATCGTCAATCACGATAAGACAATAAAAGTATCTTGGAGTAAACAAAAGCTCTTATTAGCAAAAGGTTAAACAAAAACAAAGTACACAAAGCAAGAAGATAAAAAAGAAGAAATTATAAAGAAACAAGGCACTGAATCAGAACCAATTACAATATACTTACAAACAAGGACTGTGATCTTGTATCAGGTGCCTGTACCAGTCCTTGGCCAGACTGATACATTCTGAAGGCTCAAAGAAGAGGAAGGAACAAATGGCGTTGGATGAAGGAGGAAGAAAGAAGGAATAGGAAAGGAGAGGAGGTAGTCGAGGTGATCCGTATGGTGTTCAGGTTTGGGTTCAACGATTCGTCGAGCCATCATCTCTTGAATGGAAAGTTTTAGCGGAGGAGTTGCGCCTTTTATACCATAAACACAACTTAAAAAGGGGGATTAATCTACTTGTGTAATGAATTTAAAGTACCTAAAACAGGAAACAAAAGCAAAGATTTTTTTAGAGAATTGCTCGAAAATTCTCACTCGACATGCCAGACAGATCACAACAGAACACTTGTTATCAGTTCTCCCTTTCTTTCCTCCTCGACCTCTCAACCAATAACACCCTTGTTAGGTGATTAAGAAGAGGTTGATTATGTTGTAGTTGTTGTTACGTTTTCGAAAGTCAAGGATGAAAATGAAGCATTGTTGTGATAGCTCTCTTGTGCGCAAATGTGCAAGCTGTGTGACTCTCGGTAGAATAGTCCGTCAATTTGGGTTTCTCTGAGTTTCTGCCTCCACCTGAGGTTGCGGCAAAGGGTTGAAATACTCTGGGCGAGACCAAGGCAACTAGATAATGTTGAAGGAGAGGACGTCAAGGTGGAAACAACCTCCACATCTACTGGAATGCAAACCAGGGAATGACCGCGACGGGAAATAGAGAAGCAATGCCTCCCTTGTCTTCCTCACTTCTTCTCTTTTGGAACTCGAGTTTTAGGCGGGCAGGAGGCTTCGAGGCAACGTTGAATTCAATGGAAAAGATGCTTTAAGTCCTTTTGGTCGTTGTTGGTCGCGGAGGAAGGACCAGCAGCATTGGGGACATTTGTTGATCTCTCATAGGTTCTCCAGGAGGTTGTGAACAAGAAGACGTTGAGACAACAACGTCTTCATCTTCTTCTCTGCTTCCCTTCCTTCTACCTCTACCAAAACTTTCATCTGAGAGAGATTGATCGAGAGAGAGCACATGAAAGGGTGAGAGAGCCCATGGGAGAGAGAGAGGAAGCAGGAGAGTGCAAGAGGAGAGAGCAACAGGTAGAGTGATAATTTGGATGGTGGAGGCAAAAGGTGCTCTAGGGTAAAAATTAGAGGAGAATTGTACAGGATATTAAAAGAGAAAAAGGGAACATTATTAATAAGCCAATTCCTTAGGCTTGTCCCGATGGCTTGGCATTTCTGCCTGAGTCAACCCACCATAGTTTGGCTTGATGGCTAAGTTTTGCCATATGCAATCTTTTGTGGCTAAGTTGTGATGAAATTTTTACAAGCCAACCACCTAGGCTTGGCTTAATAACTTAGCTATTTATGCATAAGATGACTTCTTATGACTTAGTATGATGATTTCTTATTAATGTGCAAAGCAACCTCTTAGGATTGGTTTGTGGCTTAATTTCTAATGCATGGACCACCACTTTTTGACTTCACTACTCTACTTAGCCTCATAGTGATGGAGAACCATCTAGTTTTATAAAGGATTTTAGAAAAGTTTATTCAAGGGAACGAAACCAGCAAAAAAGGTCATTAATTAGTTAACCTAAAAACTCTAGGAATTGTGTGAAAAATTGAGGAGTCCTTTGCTCTTTCTAGGTGCTAACCTTGGGACTCTACTTTCGTATTAAGTGCACTCTTTTTCTTCGCTGCTATAATAACTTGTCTTAAAGTTGTTTAGGTCTCCTAGAACTAGAAGTCACATTTTGGGTTTCTAATAGACAAGCAAGTACCCTAGGAGGTTACTCTTGGGAATCATTGTCCACATTGATTGTATTAAAGCTCCTAAACCCCTATAAATAGTGAGCCTTGTCAATGGATCAAACACTTCAGATTTAAATGAAAAACTTGAATCTTCTCTACGCCTCTTCTAGTCTCTTACTCTCTCCTCTCTAATCTCACTCCTCTCTTGCTATCTTGCTCTCTGGCTTTCTGTTTACTTCTCTCTACTCTACTCTGTTCTACATCACATAGATTGGATTTTTATTCATGAGCCAACCTCTCGCAGCTTAGCTTTCTCTTAAGCCAAACTCTTATGACTCCCATGGCTCAGCTTTTTCATATTTTGACTTCATGTCTTGGACTTTTTAGTCATCTCTCTTACTGCTTGGCTTCTTCTCTGCCTATTGTTCATAAGCTTACCACTTATAGCTTGGACCTTTTACAGTTATGCTAAATTAGAACCAGCTCAGTAGTATTCATATGTTGACTCGTTATTGCTCAACTTTTCTCTTTCTAGCCACCTTGGGTTGTTTATTGCCATTATTTTTAGTACAACAACAACACCAACATGGCATTTATTCATAATGCTCAACATTTTCACAGGCTACCTTAGATTGGCTTCATAATAAAGGGGTTGACACTATTCGTACACCAACCTCCTATGGCTTGGCTTCTTCCCTTGGTCAAATGTGGACCAGTTTATATCCTTTCTCTTTAGAGTGGCACCAACTAAGACTTGGACCATCATGGTTCAACTACTTCAAAATTTTGGAACTGAATCAGGTCTATCTTTGTTTTTATTTTCTTTTACAAAATTATTTAAAGCTCACAGCAACACACAGTCCATCTTGCTTATTTTTGTCTGAATCATGGCTCACAGGTAACTCAGGGTTCTAGATGACTTAATTTTTATCTCAATATTAACAATTGTAGGCAAATAATTTTGGAGAAATTGCTTTATGTTAGCCAGCACCAATATCATCTAAAAATGTTTGGGACTTGCACATATAATTTGGCATTAGACATCAAAACCACTATAGCATCTATTACAGCCACATTTAAACATTGCTATCAGAAAATTTCTATGCACCAGAAAAAGCCAATTTGAACAAAAACCTTTGACTTTCAAGATCCATTATGCTACAGCTTACATAATAGTTCAAAATGTACATATGAGATGCAATAAGCTTGAAAAACCAAAAGAGATATGAATTCACTATCAGAATTATAAATATATATTACCTTACAATGCTCAAGTATCGGAGTAACATTATGACTTCTCAAGAAAACTTTCAGTTTACCATCTTCGGTCTTCTCTAAGCTCTAAATAAAACAAAATGAGGAGAAAAAAACTTAGTGCCATCACAAACCAAAAAAAAAATGATGAAAGATATACAACATATTGCTTCCAGAAAAGAAAACACTAGATGTTAACAATCAATATGCAGATGCCGCATAAGAAAATGATGATGATGTCATGACTGAGAACAGTTATTTTTTGTTGCAATTATGAACACTGAAATTTTTATCCCAAAAAATTTAGATTACATTACATTAAAGTTTCGATCACAAAAGGACAATGTAATGAACAAGGCTCCAGCTATTGCAAGGACTATGTGAAATTTAGATTTCCGAGGGTTTCTCGGAATATGGAGAAGCTGTTTCCACCATGAAAATATTTGTTTTGGATTCATATCCAGTTTCAGTTGGTAGTCTGAGACTAAAAAACTGTTTCAGTAGTTTCAATGGTTTCAGTAAATTTAAATGGTCAGAGTGATATGCCTTAATAAATTTTGAAAAAACAAAATAAAAAAATTTATGTATAAAAGTTTTGAGAAAACTGGAGCAGGGGAGAATTCTCATTTATGATTAATGAATTAAATAAAACACTACCAATTTCAAGAAGTTACATTAATTTAGATGGTAAACTGATTCATTTATTGTCTAATTCCTCAATGAACTCTTTCCCTATGCCACATCTACTAACAGATCATTAGTCTAGCACTTCTTCACCTACCAACACAGATTCCCCATCAGCAACAACGAACAATAGGTATATAAACCCAGAGCTCAAGCAATCGCTTAGAAATCTAAAAATGTCCAGTCAGGCAGTCACCAAAGCTGGCCTCCTGTTGTAGCAATAGGACATTATTGGGAAGGACTGAGTAAAATTCCTCTTTAAGTAAAGCATGATGCAATTAGGTAGAATCACAGTATAAGTGACACATTGAACAGTATAAGTGCATGATATATATCAATCTTGATATTCACCTTCACCAAAGAAGTTGGTCCTTTTAGTGGCGACAGTGCTACTTAACTATTTAGGCACATACTCAAAAAAGCAAAACACAAAAAACAGGGAAATGCATGTATCAGTCGAGAAATATAACATAGACCATATTATCGACTAATTCTGACACAACATTTCCAATCTGTACAGTTTTACTCTAAGACAATTTGATCCTGACTGATTTCTCAGCCTTATAGCCAAAATTTGAGTGAGTCAAAATGAATGAGAATTGCTTGAGTTTGGCAAATTATGGGCAGTTGAGAGGCTCAAGAAAAGAAAAAGAGGGTGGAAGGGAGGAAAGGTGGAAGAAGAATGCCAAGGTGGAAGAAAGGCAAAAAGAATTATGACTACTTTTTCCCAGAAAACAGAACTAAATTATATTAGGAAAGAAGTCTCATGCACCCATCTCTTCTTCTACTTGAAACAGAGAAAATGCTGCTACAATTGTGTTGATTGCTCACTACAGCCATCATTATTTATCATCTGGCAGACTGGCACCATCATTGTAATATTCATTGTCTACTGCTGGTAAAGGAAAGATATTGAGAGACGAAAGGCGAGAATGAAGAGAACATCATAACTGCAGAAATGGAAAATCTAACAAAGAAGGGAGATGTCATTGGATTCGAGATTAATCTCAAATTTTGTGGACACTCTTCAAATAAGATTCTTTCTGGCTTTGTATTATCTAACACTTCATTCATATGGTGATTACAAAAGCAACTAGGTATAGTCAGTTCCATCAATATCTTCAAAAACATATAATCATTTATATATATATATATATATATATATATATATATATATATATATATATATATATATATATATATATATATATATATATATATATATATATATATATATGAAATATAATATAAAAATATATATATATATATATATATATATATATATATATAT